AAATAAAAACAACAGATTTGATTCAGTCTTGAGGACACAGGAGAATGTTTTGGGTCAATATTAGTATAAATAAATATAAACGTGTGTGTGTGTGTGTGCGTGCGCGTGTGTCTTGGTTTATTCATGTTCCTGCGCGCGGGCAGGGGCTCGGATGCTAGCCGATAGCCGATAGCTAGCTTAGCTGTTTGGAACAACATGCCTGTGTCTCCTCACTCAGCCGCTGTGATGCCGTAGCTCTCCCGCGAACGTGTTCGCGAGACGGCGGCGTTGACTCGTGGAAACTCTGGAGGGTTTTTCTTTTCGCTTCGGTGTCAATGAGCCACAAAATCCCATTTTTCCACGGCGCTCGCACAAGAGAGCTCCCGAGCTCCGTTTGCGGATGTGAAGCGGGGAGCTAACGGTGTCTCGGGGGGGGGGAGGAGAAGAAGCTAACGAGCGATAGCGGCATTTTATCCGGGACATCGTGGAGGCTTCACCGGACACGCAGGTAAACAAACACCGCTGTTTTATTCGCCAACTAACGTGTCGCTGTTATTTCCACTGTAGCTAACCCGCTAGCGTTTACGCTGGCTGCGTTAGCTAGCGGCTAAGCTAGCTAGCTAAGCTAACCCGATAACAGTGATCTTTGCTTAGGGGGGGGGGGGAGACGAAAAACGTTCCGCTGCGCAGACTTTGTTTTTACCCGCGAATCGTTGAGCATTCAGATTTGTGCACAAGCAGAAATGAATCTGCACGAGCGATGAAACATTAACGCGAGTGGACGCCGCTGCATGTTAATGACACGGGCTGTGTTGCACATGCACGAGTTGTTTACAAAGACACTGGAGTGAATGTCGGTGCTTGTAAACTGTGTCAGTGTGAAGAACGAGTCTCTGCAGGGACGCTCAGATTCTTCCCGTCGTTGTTTGCATACCTCCACAATTACTATCACCGATAAACACGTTGTTTACTCAGGTTCCCTCTGTCAGAGCTGTCCCCTTGAGCATGAATGGAAAAGCTGCCCCGGTGTGTTGCAGCATGTTCTGATCCTCAGCTTTTTAACTCAGCGACGTGACCTGTAATATCACTAATCATTATTTATAGAGACGTTGTTTCATTTGAATCTACACTGACTAGTCACACAGTGCTCGTCGCTGCAGCTGATGTATCGTGATTTCATAATCAAACTTGCCTTTGCCCAAAGGTGCTCGTTGTTGTGTAGCCGCTTTCTGTTTGTTGACATTCATACCTTGATTCTCTTTCCATGCAGATAACACCTGAAGTTCAGGAACAAAGTTCGATCATGGGGATTTTCTTAGATCTCTGCACTCAAGTCTGATCCCCCACACATCTGTTCTCTGCCCATCGCTGCTCCTCTCATCATCGTCAGTCCCAGGACCCATTCCAGTTTTTCTGTGCCACTTGCTGAGATGGAGTGAGTTTTTTAAAAAACAGTATCTTTCAACGCACTCCAAAGAGTTTGATGCATTATTTAAATATGTGCCAATCTTCCTTTCTCACCACAGTTGGGCCACACCAGCTGCCAAGTTGAATCCCTACACCCGAGCCCGCATGTCAGAAGCCTGGCAGCAGCACGCTGTCGCTCCTCCTCCTGTCGTCCACACCCTCCCTCCAGGAGCCGAGAGCGCATTGGGCTGTGCTGTGTACGGTATCGTACTGCAGCCAGATGCTACGTCGCTACAGCAGCAACAGACCCAGCATGGCCAGCACAGCCAGCAACACAGCGGGGGTCAGCATGGAGGCGGGCTGCACAGTCAGCCGCAGCACGCCACCCAACAGACCTCCCTGCAAGTAGGGACAGAGGGAGGACACAAGTGTGGGGCCTGTGGACATGATATCTCCCACCTGGCGAACCCACATGAGCACCAGTGCATGGTGAGTCAGGACAGGTCGTTTCAGTGCACCCAGTGCATGAAGATTTTCCACCAGGCGACAGACTTGCTAGAACATCAGTGTGTTCAGGTGGAGCAGAAGCCATTTGTGTGTGGTGTGTGTAAGATGGGGTTCTCTCTGCTTACGTCTCTAGCTCAGCACCACACGTCACATAACAGCACCAACCCAATGAAGTGTTCGATATGTGAGAAAACCTACCGGCCCGGTTCTGGCAATGCCACACCAAACTCAAACAACCCCCAGCAGCCCACCAGTGATGGGGCATCAGCCAGCAGCAGCTCATCTATTCTACCGTTTCCCTCGGCCCGAGACCGACCGTACAAATGCTCTGTTTGCCAGAAAGGCTTCAAACACCTGTCGGAACTCACACGGCACGAGAGGGTGCACACGGGAGAGAAGCCCTTCAAATGTGACACGTGTGACAAGGCCTTCAGCCAGTCGTCACATCTACAGCACCATCAGCGAACACACAGCAACGAGCGCCCGTTCAAGTGTGCTGTGTGTGAAAAGAGTTTTAAACACCGGTCCCACCTTGTGCGCCACATGTACGTGCACTCGGGCGAGCACTTGTTCAAATGTAACTTGTGTGAGCTGCATTTCAAAGAGTCGTCGGAGCTCCTCCACCACCCCTGCCACCCGCAGGGTTCCCGCCCGTTTCGCTGTGCCACATGTGGTAAGGGCTTCAAGCGGCCATCTGACCTTCGCCAACATGAGCGCACACACTCTGAGGAGCGTCCTTTCCACTGTGATGAGTGTCAGATGAGCTTCAAACAGCAGTATGCACTTGTGCGCCACAGACGCACACATAAAGACCCTACTGACCGGCCGTTCAAATGCAACCTCTGTGACAAAGGTTTCCTGCAGCCCTCTCACCTCCTTTACCACCAGCACGTTCATGGCATGGACAACCTTTTCAAGTGTGCCTCATGCCAGAAGGAGTTCAGCCAGTCGGGAGAGCTGCTCAGACACAAATGTGGCGAGTCGTCCAACACCTCACCAGACAAGCCGTATAAGTGTGACGTTTGTGGCAAAGGCTACAAGAAGAGTTCCACGCTACAGCGTCATCAAAACTCTCACTGCCAAGAGAAGCCCCTCAAGTGCTCGCTCTGTGACCGCCGCTTCCTGTCCTCTTCCGAGTTTGTCCAGCACCGCTGCGACCCATCACGGGAAAAGCCGCTCAAGTGCCCGGAATGTGAGAAACGCTTCAAATACTCATCAGACCTGAACCGACACCGGCGAGTACATACAGGGGAGAAACCGTACAAATGTGACCACTGTGATAAGGGCTTCAAACAGCGCGAGCACCTGACCAAACACCAGAGCACACACTCCAGAGAGGGGCAGTTCAAGTGTGTTTGGTGTGGAGAGCGTTACAGTGACTTGGGTTCTTTGCAGGATCACACAGTGCAGCACACGGCGGATGGAGGCGGTTATCCTGTGCCCCAGTGCTTATAAATCCCTGGAGACCTTTTCCCTCTGAACAGTTTCCTAAACTCCCTGCCCTCTTGTGTAAAACTTGTCGGCTTTTTGTTCAGCCTAACATTCATGGATCTTTCAGGACGGCCTATGCTACAACTATTGCATCCATTCCCACCAGTTCCACATCAGATCTTTGTTGCTCTTCTAACCTGCCCGGAGCCCAGCACTACTCCAACCCTGTCATTCCATGAAATAATAAGGAGCACTTCTTCTTCTTCTTCTCCTTTTTTCATCCCCATGCTCAGTTTAAAGAAGCGAGAAAGCCACAACCACTGTACTCCTGTCCTTCAGTCGTGGACTTAAACAGGTGCCAAAAAATGCAGCAAATGCTCCAAAAGATAATCTGTTAAAAAGCATATTATTGAATGAATCAATAGAGTTGTGTCTCCACTCTCCACTCCAAACTGATCAGGCTGTTTGAGAATCTATCCTCGTTCCCTCTCCTCAGTTTCCCTCCTTTTCTTTTGCTTCCAGTCTGTCGCTGTTTAGTATCAACATTACGTAACAGTTGTTAGTCAGGTGAAGAATGACTGAGACTAGTTTTCTGTTTTCATTTCCCACAGTAAAACAACCGACCCCTTTGATTCTGACGTAGCACCCTGCACCAACAGCACAATTAATTTCCCCTATCTTATTTATCAAGAGGCCAGTGGTGTCATCATCAAATGTGAAGGGAAACAGTTTTGGGTTAGTTTGTGGATTTCTTGTCCTGTGGTGAAGTAATTCTAATGGTAGAATGTCTGTGAGTGAATGTGTTGGCCACGATCTTTATTTTGGTCATTTGTGCTTCAACCAAAACACCAGCACCTGGTCCCAGTGCTGTTTGTAAACCAACCAACCTTCCGAAATTAACTATCATTAGTTAAACCCCTAATGGTTGATACCAAGCTCACTCTCCACTAGAGACGTATATATAGAAATCTATATTTCAAACTAATATGCTCTTCATATTCCTGCAGAGGTCAGTGCTGTCAGACTGTGCTGATGAAATGTCCACATGTGAACATCACACTTCCTCCCTCAGCCTGTACATACGGTGGACGTGTGAGTGTATGTAGCCAGATGAGTCGGAAAGGTCAAAACTTGTCTTTCTTAAAAAATGTATTGAACTGTTTTTGTATTCTTGCTACTTTTTACCATGTGAAATGTTTTTGACAAATGCTCTTTTGTTGTTTTTGTAGTCCATGTAGTGATTGTATCAGTATGTTGCAGCAGGGAATCTCAAAGAGCCCAGCGTGTGTGTGTGTGTGTGTGTGTGTGTGTGTGTGAATTTAAATGGTATTCCGTCAAACAGGGAAATTCAGACTGAAGAGAATTGTATTAGAAATGTTTCAGCAGACCTTCGCCTTTTTCTTTGTTTAAATTTACTAATCTTACTGGTCTGTCAAAGAGCCTTTTTTTGCAGGATGAACCCTGTGTTGAATATTTTCCATGTTTTTGAAAGGTATATTAACGATGTATTTTTTTCCTGTTACATTTTGCATTGAGCTCAACGTCTTGTCTTTAAAGGGTCAGTGTGTAGAATTTGATGGTGAATACCCCTCCCCTCCCAAACATGGAGAACCCGTGCTGGCTTCAGTTGTCAGTAAAACTCAAAACGTTTAGTTTGTCCAGTCTGAGCTACTGTAAAAAAAAAACAAACATGGCAACCTCCGTAGAGAGGACCCGCTCCTGGTGTAAATATAAAGTATTTAAATGTTAACGGCCCATTCTAGGGTAAAGAAAACCACAATTCATACAATTTAGATTTAACACACAAGTGAAAGCATCAGTAGGATTATTTTATATTCACTTTCTGCCAATAGATCCCTTTCACCTAAATCCTACACACTGGACCTTCAAAGTTTGGTTTGTACCATAGTGAATGACGCCTTCCTCTTCTTTGAATGCTACGAGATTCTCGAGAAGCCTGGAAATCCAGTTTGTTTACATGTTGGCAGCGTTCACCATTGTTCCTTTTCTCTGGACGACTGGGGCGCTGTTCCCTCCTCTCTCTTGCCTTCCTTCTCGGTCACTGTCGATTCTTGGTTTGAGTGCAGTATTGAAATGTATTTGATACAAACGGAGGCAATGGAGGCTGAATTTGCATTTGTTTTTTATTCTTTTTTTTTTATTTTTTCGCCTTACAGAGGTACCTCTCCCTCCTCTTCTGCTTTCTGCCTCTGTCCTTCATCACTATCTTCATACGAGGTCAAATGGTTGCTCCTATCAACCATCGTATTTTTATTTTCTGGATCTGGCATTATAAGACTTTGAGCACAACTTTGACTTAAAGTTTTTTTTTTTTAAGTACTGTATGTTCTGAATGGTTTCACATTTGTTTGTATATTTTATTTTTGTTATTAATATTCTTTGAATTGATATGAATATCTATATTCTTGGACAGAGAGACCAGGGCCTTGGGTGTGGCTTTGGGATAAAGGTGGCTTTATTTGTTCCAAACACAGAGTCGAGTTCATACTTGAACAACGTGTAGTTTCTAATCTGAAGACCGCTGAACAAAATGCACAAAAACAAGCAGTCTCTACACAAAGAATTCTGTGGTGGCAACAGTACAACACAAACTCTTCTCAGATTTGTTTAGACTACAAGTGACTTGTTAATTGGTGCTGACACGTCATGAGATGTGTGAAATAAAAATAGATGCAGGACAAGGACCTTTACTGTTTTTCATGCATCATGTCAATAACACAGTTGTACATCCAAAGCCAAAGAATAATTCCAGCCCAGAATTGTTAAAATAGTAGTTAGTATTATTGAGGGTCACAGGCCCTCCTCCCTACTCTTCAGTTAACGAACCCGTCAGACCCTGGTGTCTCTCTCTTTCGCTCTCTCTCTCTCTCTCTCTCTGCATGCTTGCTGTGTTAGTTCCTGTGTTCTGTCCCTGGGAACTGGTGCCGACCCCCCACCCCGCCCCACTGTTCCCTCCTATAGCTTTTTCAAATTGTTCTGTAGTTTTATGTGAATGATGTTGGAAAAAAAATGTTAAAAAGAAAACTTTGTGGCGACGTACAGTACGTGTACATTCATTCTAAGAATATCTGTATGTATGTAGCATTCAATTACACACAGCACTAACAAATAAAACTTTTTCCATTTATAAACTTACGTCACTTTGGGTTTTTTTTTTTCAAGCACAGATACAGCTCTGTGAGATTTGACGTATTATTTCTCTTATTGATTTGTCTTGTGTGATACTCTTATGCAGCGGGACTTGACTTGAAATCAAGATTTAGGAACAAATAGTTGCAGTTATACAAACACAAAGTGCCTGTGATTACCTGTTTGATGTTTTATGACAAACGTGTCCATCCATCATCTATCTTGTCCTTTGAGGGGTTGTGGGTGGAGCCACTTAACATTTTGTGATTAAATTATGATCAAATGGCGTCAAAGTGTCAAACATCCATTCTTTTATTAGAAGCGTAGATACGAGTAGTTTTTATTAGCAGGACTGGACTTTTTTCAGATTTAAAAAAAAAAAAGGACATTTGTTGGGCTCTTCACCCATGCTGCAGCCGTTAAAAAATACAAATAGGCATACACACATGCATCATAAAACAAACGTACGTACAACACACATCATTAAAAAATAAATAAATGAAATCCAATTTAAGAAGTATTAGAATGAATATGTGCCAACCAGGGATAACACAAATGAAGACTCATCCTCCGGTGCCAATTCTGTCTTATCTGCTGCTGAATGTGCACAATGGGAAACATGCAATTTTATAAATACAACTTTTATTCTACAGAGTGAAAGATGCAGAAATTATATATAATTTTAATTTTTAAATTCAAGTTCTATGTGTTTGCTTGTATTTCTTTCTTTTTCTTTCTTTTTTAATAATAGCCTTTGTGGTTACTGCAAAACATCAAAAATCAATAACATTTATATTTCTAGAATTTGTTTCAAACTAATTTAGAAGAAGAGAGTCAAAGTTTAACGTGCAACATGAAAAGAATACAAAGAGTAAAATGAAAACGTATGACGGCAGGACTACAAATACACGAGGACACAAACATTTTACTTAGAATCATTTAGTTAAAAACATTTTATCGAGCGACGACGACATTTTGCACCCATGCTACCTCCGGGTACCAGGGGGCGCTGTGACCCGGCGGCCGAGCTGAACGTCCTCATCCCGGCAGCGAGCTCCTTTCACTTCCGGGCGGCTGTCTCGCTGCTCTTCAGTCGCTCTCCGCCTCCCTGCGCTCTTCACCGGGGAGCCGCTGCACCGCATTCCCCGCATTCCGGGCCCCGTCTGTCGGCGTCTGGCACCGGTTCCTCCCCACCATCCCCCTCCCCCCCCACTCCCCTCAACCCGAGGGGCCACAACCTCCGCTTCCCCCCCCCCCTCCCCCCCGCACGGCCGGTAGCACATGACGCGGGAACCGCCGATGGTGGCTCACGGCGCCGAGCGCTCCCCGTCGGTGCGACATCGCCGCGCTCCGGTAGCATCGCCGGCTAACGTGAGCTAACAACATCGATCTTTCATCCAGCCCGCCGCCTCCCTCCCCCCGTCTCTCTCTCTCGCTCTCTCCCCCCGGCCGAGCCCCCTCACCAGCAGCTGATTGATAGCTGGACCACCGAGGACACTCCCTCCCTCCCTCCCCCCCCCCACACAACATCCTCGACCGTCCGCCGCCCCGCGCAGGAAGCCCACCCTCTTTTCTCTGCCCAGATTCGGGGCCCGTGAGCAGAGAAGCCCCGGAGCTCTGACCCGAGATTTTCTCATCTCCATCCCGCTCCTCCATCCTCCATCCTCCTCCTCCTCCGTTGCCTTTTTCTCGGGGTCCGTCTCTCTTCTACCTCAACAACCCCGATGCCTCCCCGCCCCCGTGCGGCTGCACCATCACCCCGACTCTGATCAACCGCCTCGGCTGCTTTTGACAATCCGACCGGGGGAGCGCTGCTCGGCGGGCACTGACTGCGGTGAACCCCGGTGGACACATCCGCTTCCCTCCTCCATCCTCCTCCTGTCGCTGCAGAGGGAAGCTCGCTGGTTGGTCTGTCCCACTTTCACACCCCCACACTACGGATCTACTCCCTACAACACCCACCCCCCCCTCCTCAGCTCAGCTTGTCCGTGAGCCCCACCGCAGCGCCCGAGCCACGGGTCTCGCCATGCCGGGTCCGGTGGCCGGTAGCAAGTCCCGTGTGTACGCAGACGTCAACACGCTGAAGAGCCGGGAGTACTGGGACTACGAGGCCCACGTCCCCAACTGGAAGTGAGGACATTTCTGTGTTTGCTGCGTGTTGCTGTGATTACATGCATGTGGGTCCATGTTAGATTGTTTGTGTGTGCATTTGTGTTCTTGTGGAGGAGGAGGAGGAGTGTGTGGCAGATGGGATCTATTATTACACACATAGCTGCAAGGGTGTGATGACACTATGATAGTACAGTCTCCCAGCCCACTCCCCTGCTGTCTGACACTTCACCCCCCATCACTTCCCTCCCTTTCACCCTGACTAACCTCTCCCCCTGTAACCAGAGGCAGAAATCACTCCGGTCCCCGGGGGCAGAGCTTCATCTCACTAACAAGAACACTCACATTATCGACAGCTCTGGAAATAAATGTCTCCCTCACATCTGCTCTGCTGTGTGTCTGTCCCTATAGCAACCAGGAGGACTACCAGCTGGTTCGTAAGCTGGGCCGAGGGAAGTACAGCGAAGTGTTCGAGGCGATCAACATCACCAACAATGAGAAGGTGGTGGTCAAAATCCTAAAGGTGAGCCGGTGGAGCTGCCTCTGCTGACAGAGGGCGACCGATGCACTGACCGATCAGATCCATGTTTTGGTTCCAGACCCTGATTTTAGATTCCAGTTTGGTTCTTTCCTCCATTTTTCCGTCAGACTCTTCACTTGAATGTGTGTTTATGATGTTGATTATGAAACGAAACAATAATTCAGCTATATAAGAAAAAGCAAATATGACTCACAGATAGATAACAAATACATTCTGGTTATTAATCAGTTTCATCCAATTTGTTTCTGCAAATCTACTCTTACTGTACAATCCCTATATTTCCCCATTAGTTTTTTCTTTTTTTAATACTTCAATTGATTTACTTCTGTGTCTGTATGCTGATAGGATTGTGCTAACCACAGTTAAAGCCAGATTGGTTTCAGGAGAGTGATTGGCTCTTATTTTTGCATTAATGTGTCAGAAGTTATATCCCAACTGAGAAAAATGAACGTGAGCGCCACCTCAAGTCGGAACAACTCTGGAACTTAATCGTCGGTGGTGTATAAGCTGAGTTGACTGTTACACCTTCCACTGTCTTTAAGTGTTTGACATAATCATAAAGGTTTTTAATTATACTCGATGAATAATGCAGAGTGAACAGTAAACACATGGCTGTAGGTGGTTAAAATAACTTCCTGCTGCACCTGCATCTGGTCAGTGGAGATTAAAATCAGTATGAAGGTGGATGTAGTTTCAACCTGGTGCTGCAGGTGACACACTACGATCATCCGGTCGACATTTAAATGTAAGAATCAAACTCATGGCTGCAAATAATTGTGAGATTGACAAACTGATCACAGAAGACAATAAGATCTCTCTGTTTAATCTCTTGTCTTGGTTTGTCTTTCTCGATTCGCCCTTCTTGAACTCAGCCGGTCAAGAAGAAGAAGATCAAGCGAGAGATCAAGATCCTGGAGAACCTGCGAGGAGGGACCAACATCATCCGACTGGTGGACACAGTCAAAGACCCAGTGGTAGGCTCGCTAACATCTAGTTTTGCGTTAAATTGGTTGAACAGAACCGACACCGTTGATACATGGCTACAGCTGTGCTTGCTGCAGATTGAGAAGCTTCTTAAGATATTTCTGACATCTGCTCTAAGTGGTTGACCAATCACAATAGGATGAGTAAACCTTTATAAGACCCTCACGTTCAAGTTCAAATAAACCTTTCTAATGTTCTTTTAGTGTGAGAACGTTGTGTGTGTGACAAAGGGAGCAACAATGAGGAGGGTCTTAGTGAATCTTTGCACTCTACAATCAAGCAAATGCACAAAAACCATGTTAAAGATCTCGAGTCATGTGAAATTTTGTCTGGGTACGTTATGAAATGGTGGTGAGACACACTTAGATTACAGCGGGCCGCCACAGTCGAGGCGATGAATAGGAAACATTGTTCTCGTTCTGGGTAAGAATGTTTTTAAAACTCTAAAGCTGATATGATGCTTCAGCTGCATGAGATAAACCCAGCGAGGCTCTGAAGTTTATGTCTTTCATATTCACTTTTACAAAAAGAAGAGAATCAAACAGAGGAATGTTTTTTTATTTTTTGGAAATCAAGTGGAAAAGAAAATAGAAAACTCTAGAATCTATTTTATCTATTTATTATTTTTTTATTCACTTGTAACGATCCCCATGAAAATGACTCTTCTTGCAGCATGTGACCGAGCGGCTGCTTTATGGAAACTAAAGTGAAAGTAAGAATCTGCCTCATTTTGATGAGTTTTAAACAATCATGGATTTCAGCAGATATTTGTAAATCATATCAACGGGGCTCTGATTTTTAATTATGGACCGAATGTAATGATCAATTTCTGTGCATGTGGGGAAAAAGACAGATTTTAATTGGTGCTGGAGTTTCTGAATTTAGGTGGAATGTAAGAAGTCAATCTGTGGGAAGATCAAGGAGTTTTACACATGAGTCTTTTATTTCTATTTAAATTTTTACAACTTTTAACAGCTGGAAAGATTCAACCAACGAGGAAGGAAGAATATTTTTAGGCCGTGGAGCTCGTCGGGAACCTTTTGTTTAAGTTTCCTGGAAACTACAGAGTTTAAAAAATAGAAAGTGTCGCCTGGGTTTTTAAACTAAAGCCACAACAGCTGCTCGTGTGTCTGTCAAGCTCCATGTTTGCTGTTGCTCTAGTTTTACTCTATTTTGAGTTTTTGTCCGGTTTGTAATTCTTCAGATAATGTGGGTGTTAATCAAATCTGTGATTAATCACGTGACTGAATCAATAATGAATCCGTGTTGATTTTGACTCTCTGACCCTCATTCTTTTCTGTCTCTGTGGGGGATGAACAGTCCAGAACTCCAGCGCTCGTCTTTGAATGCATCAATAACACAGACTTCAAGGTACAATATTCTCTGTCTGCTGCCACATCATGCTCTCTGCTCTTATTTGTCACACTGATGTTTTTTATCAGGGGGCAGCAGCGACTTTTCACCGGCCTCATTCAAACTCTCACTCAGATTTGTGTTTCCCTCCAGGAGTTGTACCAGAAGTTGACAGATTACGATATTCGTTTCTATATGTATGAACTACTGAAGGTGAGACTTGTTTACATCAACTGCAATTTAATCAATGTCCTATTTTAAAGGAGACGCATTAAAAAGGAGACTAATTAAAATGATCAACCTGAATATGTCTCCTTTAGTAGGCAGAAAGTGTGAGTGCATTATTGTGTAACGAGCGCCTTGTTTTTCCCAGGAATTTAAACGACTGTGACCTGTATCTTTGTCTCGTCAGGCTCTGGACTACTGTCACAGTATGGGAATCATGCACCGTGACGTCAAACCACACAATGTGATGATTGATCACCAGCTGAGAAAGGTAGGCGGTGCCCTATATAGTCTACTTTCTATTTTCTCTCTTTGCACACCCACACACTGAATATTACATCCCACTCTGCTTTTTCAGCTTCTGTTTCTCTCAGTCTATTTTCTCTCTGGCTTTCTCCATCACTCCCTCTATTCCTTATTCTTTGTTTTTTTTCTGAGCCAGCTTATTTTTATGAAGACTTTCATACAGATGGAGTCCCCGAGTACACAAGCAGCGAGCTTCTTAAAATAAGAGCAGATGTTATTTACATTTGAATAAACTGTCTCGCTGCTCTCTGTTGGTGAACTCTGTAGTTCAAGAAGATGTTACAGTAACTGCTCTGAACATTTTAACAATAACGTCAACAACTAAGCATGAGCAACGGATGGTCGTACAAAGTAAAGAGCACCACCTGCAAAAAGTAAAAGTATATCTAAATTTCCCTGTATTACATCGTTAATTATCAGGCTCGGACAAAGTCAATGCATTCATTCACAAAACGTGGTGTTCATGGGCCAAGAAAGAATTCAGCATGAGTGCAAGGAGTAGAAAAAAGCACGAGCGGGGTGTGTTAAAGTGCGAGCGCAGGGTTCTAAGTGAAAACACTGCAAAATCTGAACATGCAATCAATTCTGTCTCTGTCCTCCCTCCATGTCTGAGGTGAAAATCCGTTCTTTAGTTTTTGAGTAATCCCTCGGATTAACAGACAGACGGGTGGAAACCGAAGCTCCTTGGTGGAGATAATAAAACTAGAATCTTTGGATGAAGCTGCTTTGTCTGTTTTGACACGGCTCAACAGTATTTGTCCAGCAGGGGGCAGGAGGCTACCATAAGTGTAAATGAACCCTACAGACACACCCACTGTCACAGGACGCAGCGGGGGTCCACTCGAAGGTGACACGAGGTCACAGCTGACGTTGTTGAGTTGCACTTTTAAAAACTTTCTGTGAAATGAAGCTGACGGAGAACGAACTGTTTCCACAGCTACGTCTAATAGACTGGGGATTGGCAGAGTTCTACCACCCGTCCCAGGAGTACAACGTCAGAGTGGCCTCACGATACTTCAAGGGCCCCGAACTGCTGGTGGACTACCAGGTAACACACGCGCGCACACACACACACACACACACACACACACACA